CCCCCCCCCCCCCCCCCTTCACCAGATCCCAGAAATGAGCTTCAGACATCATGGCTGTCGTATAAGACCCACACTTAAAGGGGTATTTTACCCTTTTTTCTGTAAGCGCCTGACCCAAAACGCCCGGATTGACTGGAATAATTATTGGGATTTCTGTTCTGTGTTGGCTCCCCCCCCCCAGAAATATAACTCAGCTAATGTCAACACTTCTGGGAGCAATATTTGTGGCAGTGGCTTTCTGTTTTGGCCTTTTTGATCTTGTTAGTTACGTCTAAATTGGATGGGTAATGAGTCCATGGTCCAACATCTACCAGGAGGTGAGTTATGGAGGCTTCAATGATTAATTCAGAGACTTAAGATGGGATTGTTTGCTTGTGGATTTTGAGTGTCACGATACTGAAATATATAAAGGAAAGAGAGGGAAGGAAGTGAAGAGAAAAGAAAGGAGGAGAGGAAAGGAGGAGAAAGTAAAGGTAAGGAGAGGGGAGAAGAGGAAAGGAAAGAAAGAGAGGAAAGAAATAAGAGGGTAGGAGAGGAAAGGAAAGGAGGACAAGAAAGGAAAGAAGAGGGAAGGAAGGGAAAGAAAAGGAGGAAAGGAAAGGAGAAGAAAGGAAAGGAAAAGAGGAGAGAAAATGAAAGAAGGGGGAAAAGGAGAACAGGAAAGGAGAGGGGAGGAGAGGAGAGGAAAGGAAAGGAGAAAAAAGGAAAGGAAAGGAGGAGAGGAAAGGAAATAAGAGGGGAGGAGAGGAAAGGAGAAGAAAGGAAAGAAGAAGGAATGAGGGGAAAGGAAAGGAAAGTAGGAAAGGAAATGACAGGAAAGGAGCAGAGAAAACAAAAGAAAAGGGAGGGAAAAGGAGAAGAGGAAAGGAGAAGAAAGGAAAGAAGAGGGAACGAGGGGAAAGGAGAAGAGGAAAGGAGGAGAGGAAAGGAGAAGAATGTAGAGGAAAGGAGGAGAGGAGAGGAAAGAGGAGAGGAAAGAAGAGGGAAGGAGGGGAAGGGAAAGGAAAGGAAAGAAGGAAAAGACAGGAAAGAAGTAAGGAGAAGAGGAACTGAGGCCTGAGAAGAGGCCTGAACTATCGATCAAAAGCAAAAACTGAGCCTCAGTGAATCTTTTTTCTGATTCCTTTTCCGTCCTTTTGCAGATTCCCCTCCAAAAACTGTGCGGAGACCCACCTGTTGGTGTGCGAGTTGTTGTGCATGAACCAGGAGCGGTTGTTGACACACAGAAGAGGGAAGGAAGGGAAAGGAAAGGGGGAAAGGAAAGGAGAGGGGAGAAGAGGAAAGGAGAAGAAAGGAAAGGAAAGGAGGAGAGGAAAGGAAAGGAGAGGGGAGAAGAGGAAAGGAGAAGAAAGGAAAGGAAAGGAAATGAGGACAGGAAAGGAGAGGAGAGGGGAGAAGAGGAAAGGAAAGGAAAGGAAAGGAAAGGAAAGGAAAGGAAAGGAAAGGAAAGGAAAGGAA